CAACACCCAGAACTTGGATCACAAAACTTCACAATGGAACCTTCAAAAAGCTAATCCGGAAGAATCTGGAAAGTCATGCCAATCCAAATTAGAACAAAAAGCTAATACAAAAAAGGAAGAACATAGTTTGCAAAAACATGTTATTGCTAATGAAAAGATACCAAAATGCCTCACCTTGACAAAATTCAACAAACCTTGGTTCAATAAGGAATGCAAAAAAGCAGCCAGAACTTGCTGTGCAGCCTTAAAAAAATAATAATGTAATCTAACAAAAAAAAACAAAAAAAACTTAAATATGTACAAAAACCACCTAAAGCACGCAAAACAATTAAAGAAGCTTAATGAAGTTCATGGCATAACTGTAGGAAAACTTAATTCCAATACAAAACCAAAAAAATATGGGACATGAACTGCAAAATATCAAAAAAAAAAGTAATAGCCATCCATTAAAACATCTTATACATAACGCAAAAATTGCAAACCACTTAGCTGAAAACAAGGAACACAGACTTACAACAGAACTACAAGAGTCCCTAATTAAATCCCATGACTTGGCAGTTGGACCAGACAAAATACACTAGTAATAGCTAAAACAACTACCCAAAACATCCCTGAATTACTTACTAAAAATATGAGATAGATAGATATATATATATATATATGGATTAGTGGCAAATTTCATAACATGGATGCAAGCTACAGTGATCCCTATACACAAACCCACAAAAGATACTATAGATCTAACCAATTACAGACCCATTGCATTAACCAGCTGTGTATGTAAATACTTGAAAGAATAATAGACTAGTGTGGTATTTAGAAAGCAGTAAAATAATTACAGAATACCAGGCAGGATTCAGAAACAAAAGAAGTCCAATAGACCATTTTGTCAGACTAGAAATGCATATACCTGAAGCATACATAAAAAAAATTAGTGGCAATTTTCATTTTTACTTGGAAAAGGTATATGATTCCACATGGAAGTATGGGGGTAACAAAAGATCTAAGAGAAATTGGTCGAATGCCAATCTTTATCAACAACTTTATGAACAATAAAAATTTCAGGGTACAGCATACTATTAGTCACACTATTGAACATAAAGATAAGCAACATCACAAAAAACATAGATGCTGGGACAGAATGTACTTTATATGTGGATGACTACTTAATCTACTATAGATCAAAGTACATGCATACAATAGAGAGATCTGTCTTAATAAATGGGTCATGGAAAATAGTGTTTTTTTTTTTTTTTTTTTTAAGATAAAAACAAAACAAAATATGCACATTTTTGCCAACACTAAAAAATGCACAATGACCCTATTTTAAGACTCAACAATAATATAATGCCTATAACTGACCAATACAAATACGTAGTAAAATGCAATAAAATTATTCAATTTCTTAGAATCCTAGCACATACTGACTGGAGTGCAGATAAAAATACACTACTCAAACTCAATCATACTCTAGTCAGATTGAAATTAGATTACGGATGTTTCATATATGGAATTGCAAGAAAAACATACCAAAAGGAACTATTTACTATATAACACCAAGGACTTAGACTAACCTTAGGAGTCTTCAGCACATTTCTTGTAGAGAGCTTGTGTGCAGAGGCAAATGATCCCTCCTAACAATGAGGGAGAGACTGGCAGTACAATATTATATAATATTAACATCATGTCTCTCAAACCTAACACATATACAACACTATTTAACAAAAAAAAAAAAAATACCATTAAACCATACAGCTTATGCATGAAAGAACTCCTATCAAAAACTTAAATGGATATAACACATGTCCAGGAAACTGAAATCTACCATCCTTGGCTAATCAAACAACCACAAATATTACTGGAACTTGTTAAAAATCCTAAAGCTAACAACAGTCCCATTACCTTCAAAAATAAATTACTCTCCATCCATATACCCTGATGGATCAAAATTGGAACGTGTTGCAATTCTCAACAAAAAGCTAGTAAAGCAACTCCTAGATAAAGCTTCCATATACACTGCTGAAATATCAGCTATTGATCCTAAATATCATAACAACTCCAAGAAATTTATCATCTTTTCGGATGTCATGCTGGTACTTGTATCATTAAAAAAAAATAAGAAAATGGCAAACCCACTAACAAACTCTTGAACTGAATCAATGACATCTTGAGAGGTAAAAAAAAAAAAAAAAATCATATTTGGCCGGGTACTGAGTCATATTGGCATCCAGGGAAATGGAGCTGATACAGTAGCAAAGAAATCACTAGAACTAAGACAATTAAACAGCAAAATACCATGCGCAGACTACAGACTATCAACAAATATATGGAAAAGGTTGCATAGCTTTGAGGCTCTTCTTGAAACAATAAATTGCACAAAATAAAACCAACCAGAGGAAAGTGGTAGAGCTAAACACTGTCCTAAAAGAGGTGATACAGACCAAGCTCTGTATTGGATACATGTCTAACATGCACTCATAGCTACAAAGGGGCATGGGGGCAGTGTGCATGACATGGCATGAAAAGTACGTAATAAGCTATATACTGACATGTAAGAACCTGAAACTAGCCTGAATCAAATATTACCAAACAAATAACAGGAAAGAACTCTTTATCAATCTGGATAACACTTAACCTTTAACATTACAGTTTGTATATATTGTACATAAAATAATTACAAGTCAACACTGATAAAAAGTGGTAGTTGGGGTCCACAGTTTAGATCAAAAGTGAACTGCGATGTCCAGATTGCCAGCTTAGACCACCAAAACAAAGTTTGTCAAGTCCATAGTTATCCATGAAAATGGGTAATACAGTGGCTAAGCATGCAAAATGTGTATTCATTACTAAGGTTTGAATATTGGCAGTTTTGAAAAAGATTTTAAAAAAATGGTTGATGTCACCAGTTTTTGTTGTTGTAGAGTACTGGTAACTGCTTATTCACATAATGAAAACATTTTGGAGATCAAAACTTACCGATGCAGAGGGGCTTTAACTTGTGGCTTCCTACTATGTTGCAGTAGAAAAGGATTGTCAGTCTTTCATTTATACTCTTAAAACCTTCTCTACTCGTCTTGTCATTCAAGGGTCTTTTCAGGTAGGATATAATAGTAAAGGGCTGTCTCATCTGCATTATATATCATCTTGGGGTGTAATTGCTGCTCTTGCACAAAATTTTGAAACCTTGGTATGAACAACTCAGCTTGTGTTGTGTCTACTGACCTTACTTCACCACTTATTTTTACCTGTGCTATGCCATCTCAACCATTCACTAGATAAACTGAATTCAGGATCTGCATTTTCACCATGAAATTGATGTATTTTCTTTGCCTGGGCTTGTATAATGGGCCCTGACATGGGTATCCTATTATTTCGAGCTTCACAGAACATGTTAAATGTTGCCTTAAGATCGGCATACCTGACAGTTCTGTCCCTTTTCCTCTTCAAATCTCCTTCATTTAGCTCATCTAAAAAACTTTGTAGCTTTTCTTTATTTTTGATCCAACCTCTCCATGTAGATTCTCGTACACCCATCTCTTTAGAGATTTTGCTGCGAGCAGTGCTGTTTCATATGCTTTCATCAATGCTTTTGTTGAACACTGTATGAAGCATGTTTGTTTCATGATGATGGGTTAATAAAAAATGTGATTGTTATGATATCTAAAGAAACACTGTGCAAAACTTCAATTTTTGCCTGTATTTATACAAAAATTTAATGTGAGAGGATTTATGGACTTTTTGAAACTGTTGAAAGGTGTTATTGGTTGCAGTGGTGGCCTCCATTAATAATCCTTAAAGCAGGATTTAAAATGGCTCTTCTCTGTAGATTGTATAAATTATTTGGAAAAGCACATTATTAATATTAAGGCAAATCCCATTGAGTAAATGTGACATTTTTAAGTTAGAATAAATGTCGTAAGTGGTATATTTCACACTCAAAATGTCTGAAGTGCTAATCCAAACCACTACACAATTGAGTGTGAAATGCCAAAGCCTAAACAATAGTAAATGTCTGGGAAAATATGGATATGCTGAAGGTATTAAAACTCAATGAATTTATTCAAATAAAGGATTATACAGAAAAAATCAAACTTTAAAAAGTGTCACAATCAAGTTTGAATTTGTTTGAAATTGGGATCCACTGATGATTATGATTCTAATATTGAATATGACAAAAGATTTGGGGGTTCATCACACATGTATGGCTTGAGTCACATTGTGGTTTATTGGTGCGCAGCTTACCTGTACTACTTTTGACACCACTATAATGTTAAAAGTAAACTTAATTTCACTACAAAATAATAATACACAAATATAAAATCCCAACTCTACTTGCTTTGGAATTAGATGACTCATGAAGTTGATATGCCATTAAATAAAACACAAATATAAGCTAGCACAAATAATTTTTAACACTTTCTACATTGTATAATTTCATGATTTGATCACTATCATTAGTCTATCCAAATGTAGAACATTGTTGAGTAAAAACTCTAACATTAAACTTAGTATTAAACTGCTTTTGTCATGTTCAGTTATTAATAGTATTTTTTCATTCAACTGCAAAAAAACTTTGAATCATATTTTTTGGCTAATAAAAAAAAATTGTCAATTTTGACCCCTATGTCACCAAATGCATATTGATTGAAAGATTTATAGTAGCTGTCTTAATAAAATCAGAAGATTTTTTTTATTACTTAAAATGATGCTCTTAATGTAATCTGATGCAAAACACATTATTTTGGATAACCTGAAATGAGCAAAGAGCTGATATTTAATAATATACTTATTTCAATATTTTAGAACTTGATATAATTAGATATGATTATATATTACTGGTCATTTCTTATTGCCTACCTCTTTCTTTACATACTAAACAGAACATCTTCAGATAAATTTTTTGATGCATATTTTTGATTAGAATAGTATTATAGAAATGAAAGAAAATTTTATTGCTTAGTACACAGTTTAATTACATACATCAATAATTTGTTTTTCAGATATTACAAAAGTTTCTAGACAAACATAATGGCAGCTATGAAGAATATGTTTTCTCACTGTGCATCTTCTTATGCCATTATGCTGCCAGTTATGGAGAATTGGCAATTGATAATGCTAAAGAGAAGATCTGTCAGCAGCTTTTCAGGTAAGCCTTTTCTTCCATTCTTGTCGCTTCAGAGCTTAGTTTATTACATTATATATTATGATTGGTTTATTATTAAGGGGAGTAATATTTTAAATTTGTTATTACATGTTTTATGAACTGGTACATTGTTTTCACTTGATTAGAACAGTTATTAAACATATAATTATCTTTTTGGTATTTAACTATTTGTTATCCTAGTCAATTCATTTATTTGTTTATATCTGAACTGAAGATTTTTTTTTTTTTTTTTTTTTTTTTTATAATATCTGTCAGTGGTTTTTATATAATGCTACTTCTATATCAGTTCTGTAATTTTAGTATTGGCAACATTTAATAATTTGAAGAGAAAGGCTTTACAATTGATGATTTTCCAGGTTGTGTATCAAAGCTGTATTGGATGTTAAATGGAAAGAACTATCAGAGGATAACACATGTCGACAGAAATTTCGAGAGACAGTTGATGCTGTTCATACTCAATTGGAAAGATTTGATTTCTACCAGTTTCAGCTCATCAAAACCCTGATGGAGACTCATTGGGATCACCCAACACTTAGTAGAATCATGGCTGGAGCTGATGATCTTGAAGAACAAGAAGGTAACATTATTCTTATTCACTAAGATGCCGAATTGCCAGTCTTTAAGGGCATAAAAATTTCACAATTTTAAAGAAAAAAGCATTGCACCAAATTTTAAAAATTTTTATCTATACTAACTTCACTGAACTTTTTTTTTTTTCTTTTAAGAGACTGAGGAACCAATTTCAAGTTATACAAATTTTAAATATATTCAAATTTATACATCAATTCAAATATCCGAAGAAAGAAAAATGATTGAAAACAAAAACATGTAGAAATTTTTTAATTTTACAAATAGAACTTTGAAGAACATTTCTTGTTTGTAATAGTGAAATCAAATTTAAATGATTTGATGAAAGTGGAAGAGACCTGTTTCAGTCAACAGGTTCAGCATTCAGTTCTACTGAAAACCTTTCAAGCTTGGTAGGAGTTTTGCTTTTCAAAGTTGAATATTAGTAACTAATAGTAGGTATCCCACACTGTTCTAGTTTACAGTGCAAAAATGTGTCAAAATAGCAAAATTTCCTTCCACTTCAACTGCTGATATTTCATTTATTTTTTTAAGCTATTTTGATAAAATTAGTATTTAAACAAAGTTAAATCTTTTTCTCTTTCTAAAGATACAATTCTTTTTCATGTGTGATGATTAGTTTTCATTACACATCAAATATATTACTACTTCAATGACTGATGGCACTTTCCTATTTTTGAATAGTGATGTTTTGTAATGACCATTGTAGGAGAGACTTTGTAAATCAGATACAATAATAGTAATGGCTTTGAACAATACTCAGTCAGATGCCTCTAATTACCATATATATATATATATATATATATATATATATATATATTATATATATATATATTTATTTCCTTTACTTGTCATGTGATCTAATTATTTCAAGATAGGTCAACTGTGCTTGTTCTCTAGTGATCCGTATTCAAACCCAAGTGTCAGCAGTGACACTTTATTCCTATATGACACCTCCCCTTTGAGATGACTTCCTCTGGAGTCTATATTTCTTCAGCTTCGGTTTAATATTTAGAAATTCTGTTTCTATTGTTTTTCTCTTACCATAAAACCTTGGTTCAGCAATTTCTGATGGCATGGGTATGTCAAATGTGTCACAATATTTTCATAGGTACCTCTTTTTGGAGACTTTTTTTTTTTTTTTTTTTTTTTTTTTTTAAGTCAGTGAATCTGTGTTTTAACTGATTAGGGTGTCACTTATGTTCACACCTTTGTACCTGTACCATGTATGTCATTTTGCCAACCTGTTTTTTATAACGCCATCTTCCCAGAATTCTTTTCCATGTTGATACATTTTAAAAAATACCTCATCTCCAGGGTTGAAGTATTTACTTATATTGTTATTTCTTGATGCTCTCACCTTACATTCTGGTAATAATTTATTAAAAACAAACTTAATCTTCTTGGTGAACATCAACTCTGCAGGCAACATTCCAGACACAGTGTTTTCTCTGAAAACACTCAGAAATTGTTGTGGCATTACTTTATTTGACTCCTCTTCCTCCAACTTTTTTAGTGCCCTTTTAAATGTATCAACAAATTGTTCTGCTTATCCGTTTGATCTAGGGTGATAGGGAGGAGTTGTAATAATTTCTATTGCTAATGATTTACAAAAATCCTTAGAAGTGTCCCGTTATCTGAAATGATAGTCAGGAACACTGAACCTTGCAAAAATCTCATGTAGGAAATTTATCATTACCACAGTAGTTGGACTTCTACATTTTAATATTTCTGGCCATCACTAAATAGTATGCCCCGTTTAATGGTCCTGCAAAGTCTATATGTATTCTGGACCATGGCATATTGTTTTTTGGCCAAGGTTGAATTTTGATAGGTGGTGACTTTGCTGCTAAAGCACAATCTCTGCATCTGATTTCACTAAATTTTCAATATCTTGATCATTTTGGGCCAATAAGTACAACACCTCATTAAGGATTTAATTCTAGAAATTCCTAGATGTCCGATGTGAAACTCCTTTAGCATACGTTTTTTGCAATGATGCTGGTATTACAATTCTTTCTGTGTACATAAGTACATTATTACATAGGTACCTCCATGAGATAGCTAAAATGAAAAATCATAGCATGATGAAAAAGACGCCAAATTAATGTCACACAAAAAAAACATGCTAAAAATTGTCTGTTATTTTACTAGTTCCAGTGATACAAAGAGAAACAAGGTTTTTTTAATCAAAATTTAGAATGTTCTAAAAAGAAGGAAAAATTTTAAAAAATAATTCAAATAAACTTTGATCTTTCCTGTTAATAACAAAAATTTAGATGATTAAATTTTGTTTACATCAAGTTTGGCGTCTTTTTCTTCATGCTATGTTCTTTTTTTAGTGATCTCGTGGAGGTACCTAATTATTACATGAGGAAAATGCATTATTTCCAGTAATATTTTTTCTTTAAATCTTAGTTGCTTCATTTTCATTATAAAATCATCTTTTTCCAACTTAATTCTTATTCCCTCCAATGTTATGGGCAGTTCTCTTACAGTATTGTATTTCATTTTTGACCTTTATTGCCACAGTTACTGTGTTCTCAAGTGGTTTGCAGAATTTTGTTATTAGTCTAGATAATCCATCTGCATGACTTAATTTTTTGGATGGTAGAAACTCCATTTTATTACTATAGTTCAATAGGATAATTCCCCAGCACTGCAGTCTATTTGCTGTATGTATGGGAACACTTTTTTTTTTTTTTTTATATATGGACAATAATGGACAATGATCTGTCTGTAGTATGAATTCTCTACTATGTATGAATTTATGAAACTTTTTTCATAGCAAATATGATGGCCAATGCTTCCTTTTCAATCTGGCTGTAGGGTTTTTTTTTTTTTTTTTTTTCAGCTGCAGTTAATGATCTTGAAGCATGAGGTATTGGTTTAGTTTTTCCGTCCTTATATTTTTTGTAGTATCACCACTCCAATACCTGAATCGCTTGCATCTGATACAATCTTTAATTTAAGGTCAAAATGAGCTGGTGACAAATCTGATATTATGACTTTCTTGATGTCTTCAAAAGCACTTTGACATTTATCTGACAAATTCAATTTCACATTTTTCTTTAGCAGGTTATTCAAGGGTGCTCTTAATTCATGAATGTTTGTTGTGTGTGTGTAATATATATATATATATATATATATATATATATATATTTGTTGCGGGCATGTTTTTTATTGTTCTCACCTTTGAAGGATCCGGTTGTTTACCGTTTTCAGCGATAATTTGTCTTAGATATTTAAGTCTGGACATAAACAATTTGTATTTTCCTTCACTGATCTTAAAACCATATTCTTTAATTCTCTCAAATACTTTTTTTTACACCTTCCATATGTTGCTTTTGGGTCTTTTTTAATAAGTATATCATCTAAATATGCTTGTGCACAATCCAAACCAGCAAGCATGGTATCCATAATCTGTTGGAATATGCTTGGTGTGCTACCTTTATATAGAAAGGAAGTCATTTAAATTTGTATAATCTTCTATGAGTGTTAACTGTTAATAGTTTTGAGCACTCTTTCTCTACTAGTACTTGTAGGTAAGCATCTGACAAGTTCAATTTAGAAAATAAAATTACCACCATTTAATTTGGCAAGTTAAGTATGGGTAGTTATATTGTTTTAAACTTTCATTTAACCCTGTTGAAAAGTCAGCACGTATGCAGATTTTATTTCTTTTTTTAACGTAAACTGTTGGTGATGCCCATATGGAATAGTCTATTTCTGAGATCACACCTAATTTTTCTAGTCTGCCTAGTTTCTTATTGGTTGTAAAGCAGCAAAAGGTACACTCCTTTTTGGCTTAAATGTCAGTGTTACATTCACTTTTAATTCAAATTTAGCTTTAGTTTTTGTGCATGTCCCTGGACCTTCTGGAAAACTTTTTTTCAATTCAATCTTTAATTTTTCAGTTACTGTATTAGTACCGGGGCAACAGTATTTATTTTGTTGTTGCCGAAAGAGTTAATTGGAAAGTCCCAAAGATCAAATAATGCAATCTAGTCTCTTCCAAATAAATTGGCAGTATTCTTTAATACAGACACCACCGCTTTCTTGGTTTTTCCAACAAAAGAAATGTTACAGGTGAATTCTTCCAAAAAGTTCAATCTCTTTCCTGAAACTCCATGCACAATTTTATTAGAAGTCAATAAACTGGGTTGATGCATTTTCTCCATGTTTGTTCATTTATGATAGTGATATTAGGTCCTGTATCCAGTTGTAATTTTCTTTTATACACAAAAACAAATTTCCTCTTTTGAGATGTTTCTAATTCAGTTAAAAAGTTTTAATTTTCTTTTTTATGCTTCTTATCTTTACTCCATGTTCATACACATTTTATTTTTTTCCCCTTTTTTGTATCTGCAACAAGTACTTTTGTGCCATATCCTCCCACATTCATAGCTTTTTTTTTTTTTTTTTTTTTGTTCTTGAAAAAACAAATAATTTTGAAATTTTTACCTCCACAACTGTGGGAAGTTTTAGGTATTGATGAGGGTTTATCATCTTTTTTTACTGTTCTTTTAGTTGAAAAACGTGTACAGTATTTTTTCTTAGATGGTTGGGCCTTTGTACTTGTGAAATGTCTCTTGGCAATCCTTCCGTTATCGAGTTTTAATTTACAATACGTTGACACTCTTCCTCTATTTTCTGGAGAACCCTTAATTTGAGATCCATTTCTAATTTAAAGGGTAAAATATCCAATAACTCTTATTTTTGCCTAATTATTAGAACAAACCCTGTAAAAATATTAGGCATTTAAATAAATCCGGAATTCATTCATTTAACTTGAACTTTAAGACATTTCCATTGTGTATTAAATAATGAGCTATCAACAAAAATTCTTGATAACATTGCAACAGTTTCATCAAAATTTATCTTACCTTGTTTTCTTGGCAAAAAATAAAAACAAAAAGTTCATGTAAGAATTGGGGGGACAATTTCATAATAAGTAAAAGTTTTTTTTTAATGAACAAACATTCCATCCTTTTTTAAGATCCAGACTGTAT